TTGAATCGATCTGTCTTGTGTTCTACAGTATGCGTGTTTTGTAATTGAATCGATCTGTCTTGTGTTCTACAGTATGCGTGTTTTGTAATTGAATCGATCTGTCTTGTGTACTACAGTATGTATGTGTTTTGTGATTTAATCGATCTGTCTTGTGTTCTACAGTATGTGTTTTGTAATTGACTAGATCTGTCTTGTGTGCTGCGGTATGTATGCGTGTTTGTAATTTAATTAATCTGTCTTGTGTTCTACAGTATGTATGTGTTTTGTAATTTAATCAATCTGTCTTGTGTTCTACAGTATGCATGTTTTGTAATTGAATCGATCTGTCTTGTGTACTATGATATGTATGTGTGTTTTGTAATCTGTTGTGTGTACTCCTGTATTTGTTAGTCAATTGATACTTATAAATATTCTTTCTTTCTTCTAGGATATTCCACACTATTACAAGGTGATAAGTAAACCTATGGACTTGTTAACGATCAAGAAGAAGCTTTCACCAAGTTATTTCAATCGTTATGAAGATGTTGAGGAATTTATATCAGATGTTCGGCTGGTCTTCAGCAATTGTTTTGTCTTTAATCCTGTAAGTGTACTTTATTACCAGTAGTGAAGTTACCTGTTGACATGAGATTTAAAACTGTGTTCTTCTAGCTTCTGGTTCAGAATTGTGTGTTCTTCTAGTTTCAGGTTTAAAATATTTTTCACTTTTGCCATACAATTCTTAACTTAAATATATTTTTTATGTTGCATAATACCAGGATGCAAATTACATGATAGGGAGATATACAATGTGCCCTGGTTTTGGAGGTACTTGCAGAGTAAGACTTGCATAACAGTGAGGATACTCTCTCAACTAAATATAATCTCCTTTTTTCCTCTTTCACAGCCACAGCTTTCTATTCTTTATACACGTGAAGTAGAAAATTTTGACAATTTTATTATTTCTACAAGCTAAAACTACTGTCTTAACATAGACTGGAAAGTTTTATTATTTCTACAAGCTATAACTACTGTCTTAACATAGACTGGAAAGTTTTATTATTTCTACAAGCTATAACTACTGTCTTGACACAGAGTAGAAAATTTTATTATTTCTACAAGCTATAGCTACTATCTTAATGTAGGGTGGAAAGTTTTATTATTTCTAATAGCTATAACTACTGTCTTAACGTAGGGTGGAATGTTTTATTATTTCTACAAGCTACAACTACTATCTTAATGTAGGGTGGAAAGTTTTATTATTTCTAAAAGCTACAACTACTATCTTAACATAGAGTGGAAAGTTTTATTATTTCTACAAGCTACAACAACTATCTTAACATAGAGTGGAAAGTTTTATTATTTCTACAAGCTATAATTAATATTTCTAATAGCTACAACTACTATCTTAACATAGAGTGGAAAGTTTTATTATTTCTACAAGCTACAACAACTATCTTAACGTAGAGTGGAAAGTTTTATTATTTCTACAAGCTATAACTACTATCTTCACTTAGAGTGGAAAGTTTTATTATTTCTAATAGCTACAACTACTGTCTTAACATAGAGGGGAAAGTTTTATTTTTTCTTCAAGCTGCAACTACTGTCTTAGTGTAGGGTGGAATGTTTTATTTTTTCTACAAACTACAACTACTGTCTTAACATAGTTTGGAAAGTTTTACTATTTCTAAAAGCTATAACTACTATCTTAATGTACACAGCATGGTCACAAGTAAATAAACACCACCTTTTCAGAAAAAAATTAAAATTTTCAGTCATATTCACATGAATTGATATATTTATAATATAATTAATATCTAGTAGATCTTCCTTTCGCTTCATAAATTTCGTTGATCCTTTGGGGCATCGTGAGAATGATCTCGTCAATTTTAGATTGTGGGTTTTTGCCCAATCTTGCTTCAAAACTTGGAGTAGATTGCTCTTCGAAGTTGGTTTTTTTGGTTGTTTCTTGACTTGCTGGTCGAGTATGGCCCAGAGGTTTTCGATGGGGTTCATGTCAAAAGATTGGCTCGGCCAGGTCAACTTCTGGATACCATTTTCTTCCTGCCACTTTTGGGTGTTTCTAGCAGTGTGACACGGTGCTTCATCTTCCTGCAACAATGTTTTGTTGTTGTCCACGAAACCCGAGGAATAAAGTGGCAAGAGTCCTTCCTCCAATATTTCGACGTATTTTGCAAAATTTATGTTGCCAGTGCACTCCACTGAGCTCGATCTCCCACCATCCTAATCCATTATGCTGAAACCACCATGCTTCACAGTTGGCTGCAATCTGTTGAGCCAAAACTCTTGGTGAAACATTCTCCAGACCAATATCCTTCCACTGTCCAAAAATTGAGCGAATCTTGATTCGTCTGAGAACAATACGGTCTTCCAAAAGTCCAGAGGTTTGGTCATCATATCACTTGCCCACTTCTTTCGTCTGACTATGTTGGCAGGTCTTAATAAGGGCTTCCATCTAGCTGCTCTGCAAGGATAACCCAATCCGTGGAGAATCCGTTGAACAGATTTCGGGCTCATACCACCAACTTTGGCCACTTCTGCAGTCGTTAATCTGGGATCCATTTCGATGCTCCACTTGACAGCCCTTTTTGTCCTCTCCGATGGACCAGGACGACCCGGACGCTGCTCAGTTGTTTCCTTGCCGTGTTTCCTGAACTGCACGATGATTCTGTTGACTGTCGAAAGCAGGATTCCCAATTCTGTGAAATTTATTGCTGACTTATTCTACTATCTGCTTGACCAACTGTCCTTCCTCTAACAAAATCTGACAATTGGAGAGAACCTTGAGTTCTAGACATGTTGTAGCACAAAATA